CGTCGTCGTTTTATCTGTTAAAATGTCATAAAAAATTCTAACTTTCAAAACATGGCAAAAAAAAACCCCAACTTTCAAAAAGTAGCCAAAAAAGGCTCCAACTTTCAAAATGCTTATACTTCTTCACCGTGGTATTTGGTGTATTATTCGAAAGTGGTTGGAGAAAATCTCGACAACGACTTCGGAATCGATCCGTTTAATTGATTCGACGAAATATTGAATTGCTTAAGAGGAATTGTGATCTCAGGGATCGGACCAGTGAGTTGATTCCTCTCTTAGTACAAAGTAAGCAACCGAGTCGCTGAATTGACATTATCCGGGATCCGATCCGAGAACTTATTTTCCTCTAAATTGATTTGGATTATGTTCGGAAGTGATATGTTCCATATTTTACCCATTTTATTATGTTTTCTATGCGTTTATCTACGGTATTACGCCTTTAGAAGTAGTTTTTCTCGTATTTGTAGTTTTACAGTCTTAACAGAGAAATCAAGCAAAAAAGATCGAAAAGAGCCAAAATAGGTGTAAAACAAGCTACAACAACTTTCACAAGCCAAATACACCATCAAGAACCATGAATTCACAAGAAACAACATTCTACCAAATTGGACATAACATATACGGCAGAAATTTAGCAGTAAACGGAGGATCAACTCAACTTGGAATTGGATGAAACTTGGTGGACAGATAGATATTTGAGTCAGATTCACAATGAAGTTTTAATCAGCTCAATTGGAGTTGTGAGCAGGAAGATACACCCGAATTACTGAACACATGTCAAACTRCCTCGAAGCTGAAGCAAGTCCGATATCGGACCAAATACCGGCCTGCACCGTGGACCGATATTCCAGCCGATGTCAGCACACAAGAGAGGTCATTTAACTCCCAGTACCGGTCAGGACTTTTGGCCGACACTCGTGACCAATATTTGGTGCAGTTTTGACGTAAAAGACTATTTTGTCCTAAATTGAACCCTAGAAGACCCTAAACCTATATATACTTATTTTTAGCCTCTTGTTAGGGGTGTGCCGAAAATATTAGAGTATATTTATCATAAGGAGCAGCCACCACGAGTTCTCTTGGTCTTTTCCATTAGATTTGGATTCTAGAGCAATCTGGTGGATGATCTCGCTTTGTACCTCGATA